AATCGCCGAGTCGTATCGTAAATCGTAAAATTTATTCTCGAAATTGAGAGAGAAATTGAAAGAGAGAAATACCAAGCGAAATCGTGAGATATCTAACAAGCTTGATAACAATTTTGGATATAACAATTTCAAAGATTTCATTTACGTTGCGCTCCGTACTGACATTTTAATTTTCTTTTCATTCCTTATTTATCTAAACGTGAATCACATTGAATCGTATTGTTGGTATTTCTGCGTACGTATCTATGAGAAGAATCTAACGCTCCTCTATCAATTGAAATTCCATTAATTATATATCTTAATTGTATATTAATGGCAATATTAAGTGTGTAAGGTGGTAGATTCGCGATTGTAATGTGTCTAGCGAAGAAATAGACTTACCCGTCCGGTGGTTAATAAAATGGGTTTCGGGCTTTGGCAGCGAATATCGTCTTCTGTAGGAGCGGCCAAAAAGTTTCGTACGAGGTTCCAAAAAGGATTCGGTGTTGTTATTCCTTGTTCGAAAGCAAATGCACCAGGTCCGTCAATAGTGCCGGCTGCAAAACTATAACCCATGGCAGGTATGCATCCATGCACCTGTCAAAAGTTCGCATAAATCTCCTCTTGGTAGAGAGTCTGGATCACGAATTTGGATCAGGATCACGAATAACAACAATTATTTACCTCCTCAAACTTGTCTGTGGTCTCGTTATAAAATTTCACAGATTGTTCCGACATGTTGACATACTGATGAACAACTCGCAGCGGTCCAAGCACTTCCACCGCTTCGTCGCTTTTCCATAATCTCTGTGAAATGAAGATGAAATGTTATATAAAACATACCGCGTGGTAGTAGAATAACGAAAATAAATCGTACCTATATATTTAAAGAAACTTTGATTTTATCTACAAGCATTTGTATGATTCATCTGCGAGAATAAAAGGCTCTCCTTCATCGTATACGCATTTCTACGATTTACGTGGAAAATGCGAAGGCAAAATTTGATTATGATCGATTGTGAAGGAGATAGATAAGCAAAGTGTTCGTGTTGCTATAAAAATGTTCTCAATGATCACAATCTTCTCAGGTGGAAAAGCTAATGACGCACAAGTATGCGATGGCTTTGTCTTTAAATCGATAGTGTATACGTAAACTGATAGACTTGAAAACAATAAGGAATATTATTGGAATAGAGCAAACTTAATATTCGGATGAGATTGTAATTACCATGAGAGTTAATCTAGCATCGATCAATTATGGTTATTAGATTTCTTTCCCGTTTTGTAGAAATATGAAAGCGAAACGTTGCACAATCCACGAAAGAAATTATGAATTATCATGTTCTGCGCAATTGTGTAACATAAATATTTTCCTCTGTTATTTATATAAAGTAAATATCCCACTATTTTAAAAACACGATAAGTAAAAGATATTTTTATTACCAAATTATTATAATTAAATTCTAATACTAAATAAATAATTTGCAGATATGACATATCGATTATTATTTAATGCATAGTGACCTAATAAAATCTTTAGCATATAAGCGCTTTAATCTTTTATTTATGTGGAAAATTAAAAATTAAAGCTCGATTTTGAATGAAACTACTCCAGATTATTAAATTCCATAAATAACATGTGTGTGTGTGTGTGTGTGTGTGTGTGTGTGTGTGTGTGTGTGTGTGTGTGTGTGTGTGTGTGTGTGTGTGTGTGTGTGTAGTAGTA